ATTTTTATACAGTTGTATCTATATTGGGGACTTGACATTTACATATTATACATATTTTATACTAAACAAAAATCAAAGGAGTTAAATTAAATGGTATAAGTTATATCTATCAATGTAGGAAGTGGGTTTGTTTACATGAGCGCTGTCGACGCGCAGTCGGCACATCGTAATAACGGAGAGTTATGGCCACCACTTCGATTCCTCCCTCTACCATGGCCTCGTAAATCTCCTTTATAACTTACCGGTGAACAGATAATTTTAGTTGCTAGCTTCTAGTAGACACAATGTTTTGTAACCTTTTTTTACCAATTGACAGGAACGTAATGTTTTGAGGTTATGTGTCAATTTCATAACGACTGAACTTGCTCCTATCCATGGTAGTAGCAGAGCTTTATGTACTATACTATAGCGACTGTTGAAGGTTGGATGGTCATTAAAATGTATATAAAAATAACCATAAACAAATAGCAACAATTTTCCAAAGCTGTCCGTTAACAACGCAGCCATAGACACTAGATGTGACGCCAATTAAAACTATTTGTCGACGAGCTGCCGGTGTTTGCTTTTCGCGAAATTGTTTGCTAACCTGTGCAAATTCGTCAGACAAAATTATATTTTCAAATTGTTTTATTTTTTAAAAACTATAACATTTTATTTTTTATTTAAATTCAATATTTACATACAAATTATAGAATATTTTTGCAGTTTTATAACAGTCAAATATACCTTTTACGCTAAATTGCGTAATCAATTTTATCATTGTTTTACTGATAAAAGTAGCTAACCATTATTCAAATTATAAAATAGTGTTTGCCTTCCATAAAGCACGTTTGTTTATAATGCTTAGGTCTGGCGTTATACTATAGATAAAGCTTAATAATATGACATTCAGAGTGACTGTATACCAATCAGCAGTGCAACTGTGCAATGCGATTTGTTTATTTATCTGTGCAACCGGCATGTATTTGTTCGAACATCTTCTGTCTACTTACCTCTCCACCTTTGACGCATTGCTAATGAATCAAACACCAGAACGCTATTTTCCTTACTGATTACAGATCAACGGTTATAAATCTTTGGCTTTACGATCTTAGACTTTGTACCAGATAAATATCATATTAAAGTAATATATTAGTTGATAGATAGATTTAATTTCTTTGTTCGCATTTAATAAGCCCCGAAACTACTAAATAGATTTGAAAAATTCTTCCACTGTTGGAAAGCTAGACTATGCCCGAATAATAGAGGCTATCTTTATTACTGGTTTTTTTAAATTTCGCGCTGATTAAGTCTCCGGCAACTGGTTGTCTTTAATAAGAGAACTGGTTCTATTTAATTTTCGTGAGACGTTCGGTTTTTAAATAAAAATGAGAGACAAAGGACGATCGTTACCATCGCAGACATCCTTCGCTTGAACTGTCAATTGATGTCATTTTATCTCAAGTATGCTGAATATTATGTTCTTAAATCATGGTTGAGTGGAGTTTCTATCAAATATACATCAGAATAATTTTATTCCACTTTATTTAAAACATGTCGACCAAACCTTGCAAAGATAACATAATTTGTGTTTTGAACGAGCTGAATAAAGTAACATTTGAACTATTTGATAAAATTTTGTGTGACATGTTTGTAACTTTGCAGAACTCACTTTATTAAATACCTTAAATATTCCTAATGAGATTCATGTGCATGGTACTACGAAATTGCGCAATCATTTCCTGCTCTTTGACGAACCTTACAAACAGAATATATTTGCCGGTTTTAATCAAAAGCTACACTGCTAACGATAGCTGAAATATAATCTAGTATATCGAATTGAAACCACATATTTTCAACTTTAATAAAATATTTCGTAAATCAATTGACGGTAAATTACACTACAATTTACATTGATTATGCAAAATGATTGGGCAAAACTAGAAGACAACAGTGTTAATTTAAACCGCGCTCTGGAGAGTCTCAGCGACTCATGGGAAATACTTTTTCTTTAATTTTCCTATTGAAGTCTGTTACAATTACAAAAATATATTTAAAAAGCAAAATGTAGTACTTATATAATTGTGCCAAATTAAAATGGCGGGTCTTTTTTAATCTAGTCTCGTTGAGACGCAGTAATAAAATGGCGGCTTGATTCGCAGCTGAGAGCTCTCGACGCCTTGTCACTTTCATTAAATTCCTTCATGAGAAATTAAATAGGAGACACGATTACTAAATAATAACTCAAGCTACGACACTCCGCCAATATCTGTTTTATTTCATTTGCTAATAAATATTCATTTAAATGAAAATATTTGTATTCAATTTTATAATAATCTGAAAGTGAAAATACTTTAGTCTGCATGTAATTTAAAACTACGTTTAGGTTCAATTGTTTAAGAAGAATTTATCTAAATAATTATTAATTTAAGCCATTTAAGCGGAAGAATCTTAAAATTGTTTAGTAGTTTACGGCCTTGAATTTAAACCAATCACTATTGTTGGCTATTATGTGAATTTTGTTGAGTCGTACGAAATTAATATTACTTATTACGCAAAACAAAAATAACTACAAACTATGACTAAATATAAATTCGACACGGTTTTGTTCACTTTATGAGCGCAATAATTGTATCCAGGAAGCAGGAAGGTGAAAATAATTTTAAAAGTTTCCCAGGCAACGGCGATTCGGGCCTCGGCTTTTAGTGTTGCCTCCATTGAGCGCAGCGAAATTTTACAATTAAGTACTAAGTTAAGAGAGCGTAAACTGATTTCACTGCACAAGTTATTGTTAAGTTTGATAAGTTCTTTTCGTTGCTATCTCTTTGTCGTTTTAAAGCAATATAAAAAAGTGTAATACTTTACAAAGGATTTATTGTTATATACGAATTTTGGTGATTTTCATCCTAACCTCACTTTTTCTCTGCTTCTTAACTAAGCGTTTGCTGCTTTTTCTTTGGACTATTAGTTAATTCACCATTCGGAGTAATTCAAGTTTTATTATGATAAAACTATTGGTGCACGGTATAACGTAACTCAAATATAAGTCTTGAAGTTGAGCTGAACTAATCCGTAATACGTTTAGGAGCGTCGTAATCGCGCTGCAGGCGGGAGCAGCTGTGATGTGATTTGTTGCTCCGACGCTTCCGTCTGCGAGTCCGGATTCCGACTCTACTAGATTGATTGCTTTAGCGCCAGCCTTAGACGTCTCTAGAAGCTGCACAAACTTCGAACGCTTTTCCAATATCGATGATACTGAGAGATGAGATTTTATTTTTAGGTGTTTTTCATATGATATTTTAAATAGAATATTTAGCAATAAGTTTCAAAATCTAAAAACTTTGAAACTGAATTTAACTAATGTAAGTTTTTTTATGTTACATCTGATACAAAACACGGAAATCTCTGCATTTGACTCGTCTCTCATTAAAATAATTGGACAATTCAATCCATGATCGAGGATCACCTAGGGTCTTCTATTTTATTTATTTTTTTAATCCTTTTTGTAATTAAATCGAAAACAAAAGAAATATAATGGAGTTATCTATGGTCTCTGGTATATGTCAATGCATTGTGGGCGTGTGGCGCGGCGGGAGACACGACTGTTTCCCGCCAACTCGCGCTCGCAGGTGACAATGGCGGGGCGTCAGAGACACGTAGAGACAATGAACTAAACCTGCATTGTACTGGGATAAGTGCGCGTGAATATACAGCGATTTCACGTCATTAAGGTTGTAAACGTACACACGGAATATTCGAGTACATTCCGTGATATTAAATGTAATACCACGAACGTTTTTCTTTCAGTTGTAAATTTAATTATTTGCACATAACCTTATTCTATTTTTATGTGTTTTATTTTGAATCTTTCTAATGTTATATTTAATTAATAGTCCTTCGAAGTTTGCTATAAAAATATTAAAACTGCAGTACAATCCTATAAAATCTCTGTCAAGTAGAAAATTGAAAGACGTAACAAACAATTCTTTGTATTTTATTTATAAATAAGTCTTTAAAATGGAAGACAAAAAAACAATTTAAAACAGATCAATAACGGGGTATATTCAATTCAATAAATATTCGAAAAATATACTTATTTACAATAACTACGACGCCATAGACTAAAGAGCGACCACAACTCAAGACGGTAAATTCCACAGATTTTATGCGACATGACGTAAGTTTTATTAATATATAAACCTCAGATGTTCATAATGTGGCAAGAATCGAAAAAAAACATGATAAAGTATAATAGTCGATATCAAAGTAATAAGTTAAAAAGTTCTATTGTTTTGTAAAATATTTGAACAAATATCTTAATACATAGAAAACATGTCAAAATTAGTCATTATTATAATAGTTTTCATTAATGATTTATCCGTTCAGAGGTCCTAGCACGAACATTTGCGAGAAAGTATTCGTAACGTCATCGACAAAATTTGCATTAGATTTGTACAATGCGTAAAGTACAAGTACAATTCTCATAAAAATTCTCACATCTTTTTTCGATGATGTTACGAAAACGCACATCGCAAATATTCGTGATAGACCCCCAAAAATGAATAATTACAAGTCACATTGAAAATGAAGTTTAAATTGGCAGATAAAATATTAGGAGGGTAGTTAGACAATAATATTTGGTAACTCAAAAAATCACTTTACACAATGTTCCTATTAAAAAATTTATCTCTATTACTAAAGTGGTTTTAAGCACATTTTTTTCTTATACGATACATCAGTTAACTGTCAACGTATAATTATTTCTACAAGTACCCACACATTCAGTTGTGGCCGAGGCGTCCATACAACCATTGACTACATATACTACTGTGTACATTCTACGCAGAGGTAAGCACCGCAAATAAGGACTGATATACACGGGCGAAATTACAATATCCAAGTGTTTTTTTCACTAGTAAAAAAGGCTTAAGTATTTAGGCGTTGTCTTAACTTGAACTTAGTTAATTCGTTCTCATACTTTACTCTTTGATCTACGGATATAAACTGTGCCTACCAATAAATTGCAATTAAACAGTTTTGACTCTATAACGCTGCTCTATTCTTTGACTCATACATAAATTCGTTATTCGTCATTAGGTCCGTTCAGTCACGAAAACCATAACAAAGAACTACAACATACTACATATCTTTTTGACACTTGACAAAGTTTAAGGACACAAGAGCATTTTAAGCGGCATTTTGGCTAGCCTAACCTCAAACTAACCATAGATCATCTCAAAAACGACTAACATTGATATGTATTCAAAAGAATCCAACCCATTTTACGAGTTAGTCGTAAATCCCGACTTATGTTAACCTAAATATTTTGTACTAATTGTCCCTTTAAAGATATTTTATGAAATCCGCAATTCCCTATGTATGTATTTTAATATTTTGTACTAGAAACTATCGCCCATGTAAACAGACCCTAAGATAAGTTCTAAAATTGTCTAATTGTGAGTTTATTTCTTGAGATCTTCCTTCTTCTCTCCACCCTGTATGTAATGGTAGTTGACGAACCTCACTCCCTGTGTTATTTGAGCGCATTCGTTGGTGAAGTGGCAGGCGAACAGTAGCATGTTCCTCGGCTTCACTCGCCACGCGAACCTCATGAACATCAGAGAATATAGCGTCAGAGCTGAGGACAAAGAATACATAAACTGGTAGTTAAAAGAAAAGTGCGGCAAAGATTGCAACAAAAATTTACGGATATTGATTTTAGTGAACCTATTATTTTAAGACTAGCGGTCCATACCGTTTCGCATGGGTAGATATTTTAGTCTCACTCAGTAATAATGTAGATTTCTAACGAAAAAAAGAGTTTTTAAAATTGTTCCATTCGTTTTTTTTTTCGTAACACACAAAAATACAAACCTTTCCTATTTATTATATTACTTCATACAATTCTTATTTTATTTTATTAGACACGTTTTCAAGAACTGCGTATTCATTGCTTAAACTAGTAAGCCGTTTGTTCCCTTAAAAAAATACTATAAACGATTAAACCGAATAGAAAGGGATTTTTTAATTTTAATGCTTGACTAGAAATGTTTTTTTTCTAACCCATTTCATTAATGACAACTCTCTAGCGACAGGATTTTCCTTCTCTATTGTCTATTGCATTTGCAAAGCGAACGGAGCGGATAAACCTATATGGGTATAGAACAAAAGACCTTTGGTATATGATTGAAATAGATTTAATTGTTAAAACCTATATGTTCTACGTATAACACTGGCGATTTTCAACAAACTTTTTTAAACCCCTCAACAGAGGGAAATGTTGGTCGAACAAATATTCGTACATTGAAATCTTTCGGCAGTAGCAAACAAAAACATATAGCTATCTCAATTTTGTTGTCTTGATATAAAAGAGTACGCGATACTAGTAATGTACAGTCAGCTGCATAAATATTTAAACATTTACAAAACTTTACAAACTTGTATAAATACGGATGCGCGTAATCGTCATTAGTAAGCATTAGGAAGCACACGAACGAATACGTGTATACATATATTTGAAACCTAAGAAGTATACAATTTTCTGAAGATATGTAAATGTATACATTATTTACAGCTGACTGTACTTCTACATTGTACTAAGAACTGATTATTACATTGACACAAATAAATGTAGTTGGTATATTATTTATCGTTTACAAAGTACAATATTATGTCTTTTACCTTGTTAGTGCTCTGGTTAATACAATTTACATAACATTACGAACTGTTGTCGTTTGTCCAAAGAATACGAATAAAATAGACTGGAAGGGACCCAACTATGACAACGTACATGCGTAACATATGATTTAAAAGAAGTTAATCTTTTTTTTATATCATAAAGTAGCAAACGAGCGAGCGGCCATCTGAAAATCTAATCTGATTTATACCAAAATAGTTTTTAACACGTATCTAGTTGCTATTATGCTCATCTTTGTTCAAACCAACTTAAATTATTGAATAAATATTTTATACAAAGCTTTCGCCCGCGACTCCGTCCGCGCAGGATTAAAAATAGATTTTGGCCGATTCTCAGACCTACTCAATATGCTCACAAAATTTCATGAGAATCGGTCAAGCCGTTTCGGAGGACTATGGGAACGAAAATTGTGACTCGAGATTTTTATATAAGAGTTTAAAAGCATTCAATGTCACTCTAATACAGTCTCGTATAGAATATTATTTTAACTGTAATAATTTTGCCTCTGAGAGGCTGGAAGGCATAATTAAGATATATTAGATTCGTCGTATAGTCTTTGAATTCAGTCCGTGCATTGATAAATATGTCTACAAGATAATGTTACGTTTCAAATATATAGAAATGATAATATACTTTATGCTATGTCACGAAATTATTATAATTCATGATACTATGCTAGGCTATTACTTGTTGTTAAATATGAAATTGACATTCCAACTGTTAATTTTTTTTTATATATCATAAGGTGACAAACGAGCGAGCGGCCACCTGAAATAGCGAAGTGACCGTTGCCCATAGACATACGCAACTGCGTATGCGTTGCCTACTTTCAATCGACGTAGGAGAGGAGACACAAAAAAAATCCCTTTACATGCCTCCTCTCACCCGGAAAATCCGCTTCCACACCCCATCCTTTCCTTATAAAAAAAAGGGTGGGAAGGGAAAGAGGACTAAATTAGGCCTCCGGGACGCACACTCATCAGACGAAACGCGGAATTGCTTCCACTTGACGTCTGTCTTCTGTGTGGTAGTGGTATTTCACCGGGCGAACCGGGCCAATTCGTGCGAAGATGTTAAAGCGTGCTCTACCACTGTAAATTGTGTTATTTACTACTAACAAATCTAGACAGACTATACAATCTTATCATAAATCTGAAAGTATTTTAAGAGCGGCTATAAAATGATAAGATATACAAAAGTTACAGTATTACAATGAACACAAGAGTATTTTGTATGAAGAATACATATACAAAACACTAAAATAGTTTAAAACCATATATTTAGTCTTGTTATTCATATAAATGATACGCTTTTTAAATAGACTTCTGTTAGATAACTCGTCCAAATGATACATAGTGGCATCATAAGAGTGACAAAATGTGAATTAACAGTGGTAGAGCCCACTTTAACATCTTCGCACGAATTGGCTCGGTTCACCCGGTGAAATACCACGACCACACAGAAGACAGGCGTCAAGTGGAAGTAATTCCACGTTTCGTCTGATGAGTGTGCGTCCCGGAGGCCTAATTTAGTCCTCTTTCCCTTCCCACCCTTTTTCTTATAAGGAAAGGAAGGGGTGTGGAAGCGGATTTTCGGGGTGAAAGGATGCATGGAAATGTTTTCCTTCTGTGCATCCTCTCCTCCTTCGATTGAAGGTAGGCAACGCATATGCAATTGCGTATGTCTATGGGCAACGGTCACTTCGCTATTTTTTGATATGAAAAAAAAAATAAGAAAAATTTTGTGAAGTCACAAATATTTCTCGATATTTCTATGATTTTCAAAACGATGAGAGACTTTATATTAAAGTTAATATTGTTTGTAAGGTCATAGAAACTGTATAAAGGTTTTTTATAAGATAAGGGAGCAAACAAGCAGTAGGAAAGCCGAGGTGTTCAACAAACTTGAATCATATCTAACATATTATGCCAACATGACATAGAAACATTACTATCTTTGATTATAATACCAGGGTTTCTTAATCAAGGGTTAGAATAGACAGAGATATTAAATTGTAAACAAGATCATTATACTAAAATGATATATAAACACGGCTAAACACTGATGTATATTTGTCCGGTGGCGGCACCAACTAGTTTCGAGCCCATCGGGGGCCCTTCATCAGGATGAGTGGTACTGGTATTATTTCGAGGACGCGGCATAATGTCTCACGAAAGTTTGAATAATTTAAGATCATGATACCACTGCTAATTTATAATTGAGCATCTGTTGCATGCAACTCCGTCTGATTTTGTATGAACTTAATTAGTAGCCTATTTGTATTTCCAGACTGTGTTCTATAGCTTTATCACATTTCATTGAGATCGGTTAAACCATTTTGGAGATATCTTATAACAAACATCCACCCTTCCATGCATTCAACATTCGCATTTATAATATTAGTAAGATATGTAAGTGTAAAGTTACATCCATGTTCAAATACTTTTAGTTTAAGTCAAGGTTGTGATGGGGGTTAATTTAATTATAAAAAATGAAATTGATAACATAAATTAACAGAGCAAAACTCGGAGCCTAAACAAGATTAGGCGATTTGATGCTCATTTGCCTCCTTCTTCCATATAAAAAAAAGTTAGCAATATAGGGATTAAATTTCAGAAAAATATAGCATTATTGTTTTTAATAAAAAAATGTAAGAAAATCAATATGTGTCAAATATTGTCCACAAATCAAAGTCCTCACCAGTGAATAGGCCCTTATCTTATCTTTAATTTATTAATAGCATAATATATGGTAGTCAATCTGTTTATTACTATAGATTAACTATTAAATTATATAATGTTAATAAATAGGAATATATGATTCATTTTAACATACCAAGTGTCATTTTGCCACTTATGAAGACAGGATCTTTCCGTGTGTCTGCGATTGCTGCCAGTGGTATACCCCAGTTTGCTACGGGGCCCCAGAAGTGGGTACTGAAAAATGGATTGTTACTTTAACATTCAAACTGTTTCAAAGGCTTTAAAAAGTTGCATGTATATTTTTCTTTCTTTCTTTCTTCTCTGGCTTTCAGTGTGGTAACTGAAATGCTGTTTATTTTTATTAGTAACTAACCTCATCAAATATTCCCTAAATTCCTTGCTCTTGAGCTGGTCAAATAGTTTTTTCACTAGCGAACCCATTATTACTGAAAAAAATACAAAAATATAAAAAAATGTTTACAGTTTTTAAATTTCCAAGATATGGTTGTAGACCTAATATTTTCAATGTTAAATGATAACTGTATATTTAAATTCAAGGAATTACGAGTTGTGTTATAACAGATCATGTCAAGGTCTAAACCTTTCAACCTAGTCATATGAATAAAACTTGAATGAAAATTGTTTAATAAATTAGAAATATTAGCAGGACTTGCCTCTATTCCTCCAAACGTTTGATCTTAAATATTTTATTTAAGCAGAAAAACTGCTACGTCTACTCAACTTTTTTACTAGTGAACCAACCAATGTCACTGTCAACTGATAAAAGTGATAACCAAAAAATATTAAACACTAATATTTTGTATTGGCGTGTAAAAATGTATCAAAAATTATTAGTGTAGTTAAAGAAGGTCATCAATAAGTTAACATATTCATGCTTGAATTTACAGTTAAAATGATAATAATTTTATTATAACCTGTCAAAACTGAATTTATTGATAACGTAAACGTCAAATGTTAGGCAATGTTACGATTTACGATATTTACACTTTGTTTCAAATAAACTTTTAAATATAACTCTCAATAAATATACTTTAAGAATATTTTTGGTGTGAGCTCGTATGAAAATATTTCTTTAATTCATTATCTAAATTTTTTAAATAAAGTCGTTCAATAAAATCGAATGTTTATTATCTGTTTATCTAAATACTTGACACTTCGTTATCAACAATTCAAAATCATATCACAAAACAATACTCACCGTTATGGATGAATTTTAAAATAAACCGTTACAAATAGTAATCCCTTTATTTTATTGCCATGTTAAGTACCTAAACAAAATGGGTTTACTTCGTATGCTGGTTATAATTTATATGCTGCTTTATATAATTTTATACTTCGGATTAGTGGGAGGACTACTTTATCTTCGCGCCGTTGTCATCCAAAACTATAGGTGAGATGTAAATATTTTCGAGATCAAGATAATATAAATAGTCAAATTACTTCTAAATAATCTCATGTAGAAAACTTTAGGTAATGTACTCGAAAGTTAACATTCAATAAGGTATTATCTCTATTTAGCTTTACATTATAACCTTTTTGTACTCTTTTTCAGTGGCGACGCAGCATACAATGCTGGATAAAATAAAAAATCAATTTACTAAAAAAAACTTTATTCATACACAAAAATATAAAAGGCACTAAAAATGGACGGTACTTAAGTCTTTTAAATATAAGTAATATTTACTATTGGAGTTAAAAATTAACTTAACATGAAAAATAAAAGGATTACAAATAATATAATGCCGTGTTCACACTAAAGCTACAAGTAAAAAGTAACAAAAAGATCGATATTACCAACGTAATAATTAGTAATACAAAAGAGAAATCATTCATTTCCGGCCACAAAAAAATAACTATAACATTAAAAAATACAAGGTGAGTTGTGTTGCTTAGTATTTAGTGTGAACACGGCCTAACTTTTTACATATCCTTATCAAATAAAATTATTAAAAAAAATAAATGTAATTTCATTAAATTTGCACTTTTTAGATATGAAAACGCTGCGCGAACATTTGATATGTATTGCTTATGTACACACACATATATAATTACATGTTAATAAGTGACATACAAATAATCCCTGATGTTAATATTAGAAATATTAGTTAAAATATCAATATGATTTTTTAATCTAAAGCTAGTTAACACCAGACCTTATATAAAGTAAGGTGCCTCCCACTTATAATATGAATTTAGAAAAAAATACACGATTCTGTTTTTAAAAAAAACTGTAAATTATGTCAAGAGATATTTAAAAATCACTTGGTATGGAAACAGATTATTTATAAACAAAACACAAATAATTAAATTGTTAGAAGTGACATAAAGATTTTTATAACAGTTTTAATTTACTGCTGCAGTAAAAATTGTCTTATTAACACAAAAGAAACATTAAAAATATAACCTATTTAAAAAGAGATTCAAAATGCATTAACACAGTCAAAAAATAAAAATAAATCTTGATAACTATTCGAATAGATGCCTTGAAATCACTGAAGTTTATATATTTATTTATACTTAGCTAACGTAAGGATATTGAGTAATGAAATTTAAAGTATAATATTTACAAAATGTGTAGAAACATAAAGAAATAAAGATTGATAATTTTAACGGTCGGCTTCCACTGCAAATACATAAAAGAAATTGGCATATTTTTATGTCACAATATTGAGAATAACTTGCGTTTACAAGGTCTTTGTTGATATGAACTACTATTCTATTATATTCTACGTTAAAAACGGAATGTACGTAAATTGATTTAAAATATGTTTTAAAAATTGTGATTTGTAAAAATTAAGTCGTGTCACTTAGTTAAACTAACCATGGGTTACTGAGACTAAAATCTCAATGTAAAGCATATTATCTCTGTTTGGTCAAGGGTTTGATACAGAGATGGTCTCAGAAACCAATGGTTAATCCCCAATTTCTAACTAACATGTAAACCAATCAACGGAGTTAATATCGTAACATTACATTTTGAGCTTTAACCTTTCAACTTAGAATTACGTTTTTTTCGTGACAAAGGTTTATATAATTTAAGAAATACACTCCTGTATGTACTATAATTGTATATAAGGTACATAATATGTCATCATCCATATGAGATTAAAATTATTTGAACCTCTTTGGTTTTATTTACCAAAAAGACACTGGCAACACTGGTATTATCTGAGCTTGAACACTAGCGCCACCACGGCTATAATTATAACAAAACTGCTCTGTATAGCAGCTGCACCGGCCAGTCTGCATTTAAACATATCTATACGAGTTTCTTTATCCGATATTATATTCTGGAATTCCGCCTCCACTATTTGTCCATCATAGTAAGTTGTGAGGTCTTCGAATGGATATTCGAATCCTTGTAAGCATTCACATTTGTAGCCGCCAGCTTCGAACCCACGACCCAGGATAGGAACACACTGTAAATAGTAACAATAATTAGGAATTAAGAATATATATAATAAAACTAAACATTGATTACAATTTCATGTATTCATGTTCTTAATGAAGAGGAGTTCATGGGACAATTAAATATAGGGTATTCTTTTCTGTTCTCTGTAATGAATCAGAAATAACAAAGAAAGTTAAACTCGCATTAGTAACATTAACCGAAATTTACATAACAATAAATAAAAGATACGTAAATTCTTATATAAAAAAATTATTTTTCATGATATATTCATAAGTACTTACATAAGAAGATCTCCTGTCGCATTTATCAGTACCTTTGAATGCATTGGGCACGTAGTACTTGTCGGGGCACTGGTTGATGTCCAGCGCCATCAGGGACATCGTCACAGCCACCACGCCCCTGGGAAACGTAACAATGCTTTATATCCGACTTACGAAGGACCAACACCAAAATTAAGTTACAGTATTTAAACAAAAATAAATTGTCAATCCGTTGTTTTAACTTCAAATTGACACAGTTTAAAGTTCAATAATTTCTAGAAATTTTCAACCATACAACATCAAATAAAGAACTTAAAATCAATCTGGATTTCTCTAAATAGCTATAACTTAATTTATACTTACTTGAATTCCAATTTAACTTTAACATTATCCCATCCGAAGAAAGGCGAGGCGTACGTCACAACCCATTGCTTCAAAGGTCCATCGCAATCATAATAAGGCTGCGTCCAGTGACCGTGCTTTATATTAGCTGCTCTATAAAATGTAGGATACTTTTCATATTGCCGCAGATGCACTCCGAGTTCATCATCTCTTAACTTCATTTTGAGGAAAAATTTCTCCAAATTATCAAAGTTTGTCGACCATCTTTGTTTCAAGAATTGGAACCATTGCTTATTTGTGTAGACATCCTCTGTGAATTAAGAAAAATAAGAAATTTTGACAATCATGAAATACTAGCTGTAGCCTGCGACTCCGTCCGCGACGAATAATAAAAAACTTAATATCCTATGTGTTCTTCCAAACTATGTTCTACATCTATGCCAAATTTAAGCGGAATCCATTCAGCAGTTCTGGAGATACCTCCAAACAACATCCACCCATCCATCCATCTATTCGAACATTCGCATTTATAACACAAGTATGATTTTATATATATTTTAGTAAAAAATCAAATTAAAAATAGATTTAAAACTAGTAAATAAATGTTTAAAGTAACTAACCAGTCTTGTTCAACCTCGCTAGATCTTCTAATTTATACTTCCTTGTGTTGAGCTCAGTCTTGTAGGCGAACGGTGCAAAGTAAGTTCTGTTTGTAAACTTGTTTCTGTCCCAGTATGTGCCTGCAGACATGTTTTTTAACATTTAGCCTTCCACTTAATTCATTTATAAACGTACCTAATGTAAAACCGATGTAAAATAGTATAATTTACCTGCAGACCAGATCTTGGAGTCACCGAGAATGATAGCCAGGGTCTCGCCTATCATCTGGTCTTCAGTTAGAGGTCTGTCCGCTACACGGGTTCCACTGAAGATTTCATATGGGTCTGACACCTGAAGAAATAGTCAAATTAAGAAATTAAAGCGAAAAAAAGTTATGAAACAACAATCCAAAAGAAAAAGAGACCATTTGTGTGTCTTTCCTCTTTTAACCAAATCTAATTCATTTCGATTTTGTAGGAATATAGCTCTATACAAGTATATTTAAAAAATATAGCTACGCTACAAACCTGTAGGAAAGCACTAATAAAGTTAGCGAGACGCACAGCCATCTTAGCTTGGTTCTCGAACTGCTCCGGCGCGCCAAAAGCTATATCACCGTTCAGGAACAAGTCTGTTGGTTTGTATCTGAAATAAACATGACAATACTTTTTACCTAAGTAAATAAATGATGGCAGTAAAACTATAATCAAATTATCTTATTTTCAGCTTTGTCTAAAAACCTAGTGATTTTTTTCGATACTACAAACAATATTTTAGTACTAAATAAATGTTAATCGTAAAAATATTGAATACATTTGAGAACTTTATTGAACCTAAATGTGAGAACTTTGCTTTAACCGCACTTACTTGGAACAATTATGTGGTTGTACTCCTCTAATAAAGTTGAGTACTTCAAAGACATTGATTCTCTCCGTGTGCAGCGCATCAGCACCACTACTCGCGTTCACGTACTCGTAGTAACGGTCCGCGTACAGCGCGCGGATAAATGGATGAGCTTTTTCCCATTTTACAGGCAGCTTTTGGATCCCTAAAAATAAGTAAATTTATGAGTTTAGAATGTGATATAATAAAAGAGGTGTTTGAGGTGATCCTAGAAATTGTCCTTTTTTTTCTATTTTCTTGCTCATAAATTTTGATCCCAGAAATATGTAGGGTTCCCGTGGGATATGCTTAATTAGAAGTTAAATTATTAATACTTGATGAATATAGTTTAAA